TTACAAAAAAAGGGATGACATCGGGATATTCATATTAAGATTGTTGAGTATCGCGGTTTCTTATCGATTATATTGAGATTGTTCAGTATCGCGGTATGATTCCAGTTATATTGGTATTGTCGAGTATTGCGGTATAATACCAATTACATTGGGATTGTTTTGAGTATCGCGGTATCGTACCAATTTTATTGGGATTGTTGAGTATCGCGGTATGATACCAATTATATTGGGATTGTTTGAGTAATGCGGTATGGTATTTACTATACTGGGATTGTTTGAGTAACGTGGTATGATACCGATTATTTTGGTATTGAAAGTACCGGACCGGCCCACAGTAAACATGAACGTGCTCTTTTCCCTGTGTATCAATACACATGTGCATATATCGACATTACTATTGACTTTTAAACGTAAAGTTGCAATCTTTTCTATACCCCATAGACATTGACGAATAGACACTTATGAATATTCATTACATTGATCAACTGTTTGTTGTACCTTTAGTTACTGTGCGGCATGAATAATGTACCGCATGTTCTATCTTACCTGGGCTACTTCTGTCTGTACGTGTAATACAAGGCCTATTAACACAGCGTCAGGTTACGTACACGTGTAGTACATCTGTACCTCTGGTCGCAGACAGGAGCTAGTCTATGTGTGTAAAATATAATGAGCAAATTCTACATTAAAGGTTTTACTTTATTTTAATGTAGAATTTATTGATCACACTTCACGGTTGATCCGAATAGAAGAACACAGGGGGTCTTAATCTGGGAATACAGCGGAGTACCTGAAAACACCAATGAGGTAGGACAGGTGTCCCAAAACCTTTTTATGTCCGATCGGGAAATCGAACCCCGGTCGTCTTGTTTATATGTGAGTGCGCTATCCACTGTGTCAACTTGGCGGTAACTGATGTTTTTCCGTTTTGCTGTTTCGTCTCTTCGCACAACGAAAATTAAAAAATGGCAAAATCCCGTCTTTATTCTCACGACCGTGCCACACTGACGTTCACTTATTCAAATAGTCAACTTGTATGAGATATCGACAGTCGTGGAGCATTGCAGAACATCATCCCGACAACAAAAACATGACTATACGCATTAGCATCATATTGTTACTCCCGACAATGGGGAGGTTAGTTCATTATCTCACATACAGGAGGCAATTCTTTATGGAGTGAATAACGATAGCAAATAAAAACCTTTAACGTAACCTCAACTATTGAAAGCTTATTCAAATGTTATACTAGAATACTCTAAAGTGTGTTTTTCTGGTGTATCGATTCAAATGAAGGATCGTATGACGTAATCTCGAGGTAGAAATCTAATCAGGTGATTCGCAGGTAAAAAGCTTACCTAATCAAGTATGAAAACATTTCACTAAGCTGTTCAGTTGATCGCATATGTTTTGAATTCACTGTTTATACCTACTAAGGTGTTTTTTAATTGCTGTGTTGTGTGAGCCAACCTACCTGTAGAAGCAATATGACCCTCCAATAAAACCTGTCAATTTGTGGTTGGATTTCTGCAAACACGTGGAAACACGTATATTCATTGGATTTAAACTTTCCGTCCGGGTCTTTATTTTATTTCGGTTCCCTGTACTGGACGCGCCTATACCTACTAAGGGAACATAATGTTTGTGTTCACGGAAGAAATTCACGTGAGAGTGATGTAGGATAACAGCATCTATTGTGGCTCTGACGTCATAACGCCGGTTAATTGCCTGAATCACGTCACCTTATTTGTCATTTAATCCCATTGAAATATCTCAACTCAACACTTTCGGTACATATTAAGTACTCCATGCCCATCCCTATATAAAACTGAATACAAGTTAATACCGTAAAAGGATAAAATCCATCTGATGAAGCCGCAATAAATATAATATTTAAGGATTAACTTGAATATATTTTTATGTTATGGAGCTTTAAAACACACAAAAAACGGAGTGTACTCTAAATAAACCACGAAGCGGTTCATGATGAGAGTACACTCCTGTTTTTTGTGTTATACATGTAGCTCCATAACATAAAAAATATATTCAAGTTAATCCTTATAATTTAATCTACTATACACAATCCCTTTGGAAATCAACTTTAATTGATGGACTATTTTCTCTTAGAAATTATTACGCCGCTGTATCAGCCAATCAGAAGCGACGTTACAAACGGCGACGTCATTTTTTTATGGTATGGGCTGATAACATATTTTTTTAGGCCAATGAAAAGGTTTGTTACAAGCGAGATTAAATTATCATAGATTATATCTAAGCTGAATTTTCATATGAATAAGCATCAGATTTCACAAAAATATTCATTAAAAAAATGGAGCTGTTAACAGTGATGGTCACAAATTACGACGTCGTTTGTAGGACATTTTGTAACATGGCGACGTTCGTTTGTTCATCTCATATCTTACTGGTTTTTATATAGAGACTCCAAACTGGGTATGAAGAGATCAGACGTTATGGGGTGCTTCATAATTAGGTCACTGTGACGATTATATAAGTATCATTGGTACCCATGGACATGAATGATTGTGCATGCCTACAAAGTCCATATCCATATTTTCGTGTAAAAACTTTAAATATGATGCGAGGCGTGAGCCATCTGTCAATTTGTATCACAGGTTAACGTTGAAATTTCAAATTTCGCAAATAGAATGAAAGCGATTGTGAAAGAAAGTGGTGTTCTGTCCAAAAGAAAATGATATAAAACTTTTTGTATCTCACAAGTTTGAAATTGTGTTATATATGTATATGGTATTTTATTCAAAAACTAATATTTATTTATATACAAAACATGCAATATTAGAAGAAACATCATTTGAACATGTACTGGAATACAGTGTACTGTATGCATAAATTATGGCAAGATATAGTAGGTTAATCTCAAGTCTCAGAATGTGATTTATCTGGAAAATGAACAAAAGTAAGTAAGAGTTTACCTAACAAGAGCAAAAATACTTGTGTAAGAATCCTGTTAAAAAATGAAGAATAGCTGTGAGCGCCGAAATGTCAGCACCGGCTGTATGTTGTCTGGTTGCAAAGGCCCCATAACAACGGATAATAATTTGTGAACCGCTTTGAGACGACCTACGAACTAGATTGTGATAAAGCGGTGAATAAGAACCTCGAACTATTATTATTATTTATCATTATTTGAGGTAAAATGTCCTTATCAGTGTACAGTGAGGTGTGTCTTATATATAAATAGCTATTTAAACAAACATTATATATATATCGAACAACTTTTATCCTTTACAGGGCTCATCAAATTTATTTGTAAATGTGTATTTTGACATTTCAATTTTTTATTTTTTTTATTTGCTACAAAATCAAACAGTATTTTAAATAATTTTGAGAACCTCGTGAAGGATGAATACTGCTATTTTTGAAGTTGGTCGTAAGTATATATATTTAATATTTCATAATAACTATTGTTTTCACATGTGGTGTATGTACTTTGGTCAAAGTCAAGGTCACCTGGTCAGTTGTATCCTGCACAGTGTACTGCGTGTCTCGTTTGTTCCGATGGAATGTTATATCAACGTTGTAGCAAATCAAAATTCAAGAAAAAACAGGTTCAGTGTAATGTGAAAAAAACCTTTCTATTAAATACATGAATTCCAGAATCCGGAACACCCATCCCGGCATACCGCGTAGTCTGGAAATGTAACTACGTTTCCGTTTCATCACGTGACCCTGATCAGCTTCTGACTGGCTACCTTGATTTCATGTTATTTTTTCACGATTTTGGTTTTCCTATTAACCCTTGACAGGGGGTCTACAGTGATATTCCGTCTAGGTAACGTGTAGGTCGTCTGTGGACGTGATTCCCCACAATACTCTAATGATCACGTGATCACATGTATCGATGACCGACCCCCTACAGACTGTAATGTTCACGTGTGATCATCTCACTTTACATATTTTTTTAAAACCCTCCTGTCAAATATCGCTCCGTCATTGTCCTGGAACGTGTACTAAAGGATGCATTGGACTGGTATAAACAATCGTTTTTTTATTTATTTCAAACATTTTAGTGTCTCAGTATTTAATTCAGTTGTATATATATATATGTATATGTAACAAGTGAAATTAATTGTTTTGTCTATTAACCAACACAGATAAACTGATATCCAATATTACTTATGATACATGTATGTCATTTGAATTTTAGATGACTATTTCCAAAAATAAAAATAAAAAAGAAGATTTTAATGTAAAGTCCAAATTCATTGGCTTTCTAACATCTCAAAATAGATTAGTTGATTTGAGGACTGTTTGAGCTACTAAGATATCCAAATTCCATATTTCAATTTCATTTTTTTCCCAATTTGTTGACAATGATATTATAAATAAATAGATCCCCCACACGTATACACTATGTTTAAAAGATACGCGTTGTAGAAGTATTATATACACAGTGTCTATTGAAAACCCTATCCTATTGTTTGTAATTAAATTATTAAAACGGGGTCAGTAATTACGGAGAACCACTACCTGTGCGAGGCCATTCATTCGTAATGTGTGTTCCGCCTGACTGACCTCGTGCAGTACTAAGTAACATAGTGACGGGAGACAATTCTCTCATAAGACAACAATTACTACCCTGAATAACCCCACCGCTGTTTTCAAGCCGATATGGATCTCGCTGCTAACACCAACACTACCCAGTGGATAACGTATAGTTCTATTGGTGTTAAAACTTAATTGTTCGCTTGCCTTTAAACGAAAGAGAAAACCTTTAAAAAAAGACTGACATCGTACCAAATAGCTTGTCTTGTGATAATCCTTAGAGTGACAACCATTGTTATTCAAAGGTTTGTGTGAAAAAAATCCTCTTGGACGGTTCGTTAGTTGTCTAAAGCATTCACCTAACATGGGCCGTGTGTACAAGTGTGTGTGTTTGTACACGGGATATACTGACAATCGAACATGGGAGAATATCATGGATTAAATACCAACACAACTGTTTTTCTCGTGTGTTTCAGATGTGTGAACATAATATTGGGGCGGTTGAGCGTGGACAACATGACACCACAGTCGGGCCTGATCGTCCCGACCCCCGGGAGTTTTAAAGGTAAGACTAACAACGCGTCTCTGTCTATATATGAGATATGTCAAATTTGACGTTAGTCAGATATTGTTTTTAACACAACAATAGTCACAATGTATTTTAATTGTTTTCAGCAAACTGCACTCGACGACATTTAATGAGAATACAGAGTTGTTGTGTGACGGTAGACTATAGTTAGTATGCGTGAATTCACTTGGGCTAGAAGTGAGCATACATGTTTTAAGTTAGATTTTCCTGCTGTAGAAATTAAAGGAATATCAAAAACGGTTTACTGCAGATCAGTTGTGGTAGAGTTAGGGTATATACAAATGAAAACATTAACAGAAATGCGATAACCTTAACTGAGAATTTCGTTTTTCACGTCAATCACAAACAAGACTATAACATTCTTCGCTTTTTTGACGTCCATTTCACTTCTCCAGTGCAGAGTTTTATCAGACCAATCGAAACGAAGAAGAAACAGCTGTTAAAGGTTAGATATCATAGGTGGACATCAGATACATGTATACTGTATCAATGAAACCAACATTTAGAACAACATGTACATTAAAATAAACTAGTCATGGAGACCAAGTTAAAGGAGAGCTTTCTCCCAAATAAGAAAGATAAAAGGCTTTATCTTTGGACCATGACGAACTTAAGTCCACCAAATGGGTCCTTACTGCTCACTGCTCGACGCTCAGCTTCTTCTTCCTCCAATAATAAGGCAAACCACTTCTGGTGTATTGTCGCTGATGATGGGTGTTGGTAAGGCGATATTAGTATCCTAGTAATGTCACCGGGTAAAATGTTCCTCTAACGTGTCCAGGTTACAACATGTCACTGACTCTCGTCGTCACATAACCTGACACATATAAACGACATAAAACGCTGTACTCCTGTGGTTGTTTTCCATGCACCCTCCTTCCTCCCAGCATATTGCCTGCCTGTGAGAGCCCCTATCATTCGACTCACAGCCTTTGCAGAGAATACCTGTACCCATTTTTCGAAGTAAAAATCTAAACCCTTCACCTCTACATTCAGTGATATTAATCTAAACATTTCACAGTTTTTTTCTCGTTAGATTTATCTTACAAATTTTCGCATGGAACCGGAATTCCATTTTGCAACGAATCTGTTCAAGCATATGTTCATGAAGGTTTCCGGTTTCCTCTCACATTAAGACTCCCCTCGCGCTAACATCCGGGCAAACAAGGGTGATTAATATAAGTTGAAATAATTTGTTTCATAAATGTTTTGAAATAAATGCAGTTTATGTTATATACTTTTTTTGTATACATATACTATGTGTATTGTGTGAAAAAAAATATTGTGCCCGTTCATTAGCTTTCCTATGTGATATGAAATATATAGTAAAATAATCATAATTAACACAACGTCGAAACATCGACGAGAATTTTCTAAATTGTGATCTGGAAGTTAATATCACTGTCACTAACTAATGTCTACTCTCCGATGTGTCTTACAATCTGAATCTTGAAAAGGAAAATCCGTCCATGACATTCATAGCCCAAATGAATGCCAACTGAATTTGGTAGGGTTATATAGTGGCAACGCCATACGATGGTAAATATTTACATTTTAATCACACGCTTTCAAAGAATCAAGTATATAAGTGCTATGCTTATTCGGGAATCGGAGATACATGTATGTACCTTAATTGTACCTGATGTCACTCTCTCTATGTATAGTAGTATTTAGTTCACAAATGTCATCTAATACTGTACCTACTCGATACGTCCGCAAAAACATCACTGGCAATAATTACAGGCAAAGGGTCTATTACCATGCAACCCTTCACATTTGCTGTAAATTGTACGTTTATTTTACACGATGACGTCTGTAAGATCAATCAGATATCACGTAGTTGATGTTTACAGTTTGTAACGTCGGGTGTCAGTTTATCGACCAATACAAGCCAATTAATCATGACCATTTATATATTTCAGATGAGGAAGACAATTGCTATTTCGATTAGAGTGGTCCGCCATGACAGTTGTAAAGATGGTGCCCTATATGTGTGTTTCTGTTGAGTTGGATTAATGTTGAGGTGATAATCTACGAAGAGTACCGTTTTATATAGCTGTGACGTCACTACTGGTTTAGATGTATCTGAACCATCAGCAGCCGTCGTCCACTATGTTGAAGTACACGATCGCCAGTGATGAGGGTTCCTTTTCCCCCTCACACCGGCCAGACAACCCAGATACCTATAACATTAAAGACTCATTGGAGACAAGTGCCAACCCAAGAACACGTGCTAAAATGGTTATGAAAAAGCGTGCCAAAAATGTTCAAAAGCGCGCGAGTGAGTATGCCATGCTTCCTCCAATCAACGGATCGCATAATTACCGGAAAGAAATAGCGACGCCTTATATCAACAACGCCACGTCGACACACGAAGCTCTCGAGACGCCGTATACAAACGCGCTTGGGATTTCCCGCCTCCATGACGTATCAACGCCATACATTATGAACACACACATTTCCAAAATGGACGGCATGTCTCCTCTACCTGGCCGGGAATATACTCTGGCCGGAAAGGAAAATTTTACAAAGATGGGGGGTCTCGCTCACGGGGGCACCAATATTGTGGAAGTCTCGCACATGCGACAGGGCTCGTTTGCGCACGAGACTATCACGAAACTCCAGTCCTCTTCCCCATACATAGAAAGGAAGTCAAGATTTGATAGGAAACCTAATAAATATATATCGGAAAAGTCCGACTTGGACCGAAATAATTCAAAATTACATATACAAAGCAATCAGATTGGATTAATAGACCGAACAGAGAGACATCGATCTCGTGTAATCCATGGTAACGAACCGTTTTCCATTCGGAAGAAAATCGAACAGTTTCGACGCTGGCACGAGGAACAATATAAAGAAAAACTAAAAAAGTTGAAAGACGAGATTGACAATCAGTTCGAGGCCGAACAAAGAAAAATGACTAAATCTAAGTCGAACAGGTCAAAACACAGAGAAGAAAATGTAAATAAAACCAAACCTGACCAGAAGGTTGAGGAGGATTCCGAGGACAGAGGTAAGGAAAATAAAACAACGACCAAGGACAGCACTAAAACTCCGGATGACGGGCATGCGTCGGCGCATGCGCATAATGACAAACAACAAATGGAAGTTGAAGATGTTGGTAGTGGAGACGTTGTGAATGACAACGCCGGGTCGGAACACACGTGGCATACCTGGCGTGACGTCAACGAGTCTTACGCTTACAATGATGTGACCAAGTATATCCAGGACAACGAACTGATGACTGTTGAAAAGCTAGACTGGATTAAAAACTGGATAATCGACGTGGAGAAAGCGCTCGAAGAACCAGATGATGACGACATTTTGTGATGTTTATTTGTGTTAAGTTTGTTCCGAGTGGATTAACTGTTCGTCGTGATAATTAAATGTATTACGGATTTATAAAAAAAAGTCTGTCTGTGATAAACTACACGAAAACAATCAATTCGGGATGGAGAAAGTGCTCATATGGTATTTGTGTATAGGGAATATACAATGTTATGTTTGGTGCATATTCCAGGAAAGTGCCGATAATGACCGAACATATTGAAGAGTGTCGTCGTCATAACCGCTAGTCCACTGACCTCGTTTTGGATTTCCTACACCGGAAGCTTCCATGACAGCTAAATTCTGTGATAGTTTGATCCATGGGTGACTTACAACCGTTCAGGTTTCATCTAAACTTGTCTTTCATTGCCGTATGTCCTATGCTAGATATTTTGCCTATGTAGGGTTGTTTCTTTCAAAACAACCGGGGAGTGAACTAGTTCTTTATGTCCGATTTTATTTCGTTTTTCGATGGTAAATTAAATCTACGTTATGTAAAATCTATGTTTGTTTTATACTTTTTAAAGATAACTAATACTTTGCCGAGCTAAATGAGTATTTTATAAATATTATGATATTTCAAGTTGGTTTGCTTATATGTGTATACCTACACGCGTATATGTCATTGAGCGGACAAGTTGTTTGTATATATGTTTATACCTACCTGTCAATATGTAGTCAACTGAGAGTATGGATACCTCATTTCATGTATCGTTACTAAGGTGGCGGATCCAAAGACCTGTCGGGGGGGG